CATAGCCTCCAGGTGATGGGGATCGCCTGAAATCGTGATTGCTTATCAGCATCCAGGCTGACCCTCGTCATGCTGCTGAGGGTTACAGATGAAGAATAACAACATGGACACAAAATCCATGAGCCTGGGATGCTGTTCACGTGGGATGGTGTGACTCATAGGAGTGGTTGGTATTTAAGCTGTGCAAATCAGAGGTTTGATATCTGAGCTGAGTTCCATATGGTGTCTTCCAGGTTCATGCAGATAAGAGTAGTTCAGAGACACAGAGTGGAGAGAGCTGTGATGCAGAGAATTTGTTTTGCATTATCAGTTGCTCTTCCGTTTGATAGTGTTTGTGAGCATGCTAACTTCAGGTTAAAAATAAAAAATAGGTGAAGAAAAATCACTTAATTAGAAATCAGAAATAACACATAGTTTCCAGACAAATCTACCCAGCCTGGAGATGTCTTTCCTTACAGCACCGTGGAAAAATCAGAGCCACCTGCTTTATCCAAACTCTGGTTTCTTGTTCGTGGGGCAACTAGGGGTTTGCTAGTGCTGCTTGAGAGATATTTCATCCCAGCTCCATGCCTTCTGCCATCCATTGCTCCAGGAAGGAGGAATGCCAGCACTGGGCTGCCTTTGTCATTCCAGCAGGAGCTGTGGGCTACCCTGTTGCCCCTTGCTGGGTTGGAGCGCTGGAGGCTGGGGGGCCTGGGGAGGGGCCGGGTGGGTGGGGGGGGCAGAAAAGCCTGGCCAGCCAGGTCTTGCACTGTGCAAGTGAGAAAGAGAGGGCACAGCACACCTGATGCTCACCTGGCACACAGTTCCCAGCTGGGAAGGTTGAGCACTGTGGTAGAAGCAGTGACAAATCCAAGGCTGGTGTGGAATTCCTTATTGGAGTTGCCCAGTGAAGACATGCTGGGTGGCCTCTGTGGAGAACTTGTCGCAGAATACTCACACCCCACTGATGCAAACTGGAAAAAATTTTACTGAAGGGAGAAGTTTCTGCTGTGATGCTGTGTATGGGACAAAAAGTAGACTTGCAGATCTATTTAATTTGTGTATCTAAGAAGAAAAACATCTAGAGGGCATGATATAGTGGATATTTTTAATCATTGTCATCTGGGTTTTCATTTTAATAATGACAGCACGGTATGACTAACTCAAAGAAAACAATAAACAGACTTTTTATTGTTACAAAGTTTCTCTCGGTAGGTGGCTAACCCAAACAATTGATTTACAGCAAGGCAGAAACAGAAGTTCAATGCAAACACTGCAGTGTATTTAAATAGTAAATGCTTAACTTTACCACAAGGGAAATCGTTTTGCTGTAATAATTTTCACAGCTTCTTCTTGCACAGCCAGCAAACTGAGTAATACTGGAGGTGGAGGGCCCAATCCTCTCCTAATTAACTGGGGTGTTACGCAGGTGCAAGTTCGACGACTTCAATAAATAGACATAAAGGAAAGATCTGAATGGATCTGGAGGCTTGGAGCAGGGTAGCAGTAGACAAAATAGATCTGAAAAGTGACATGTAATAATTTTTATTAATATTGCAAAGCATCCAGTGGAATTGTTTCCTGTCCTAAAGGTATTGAAGGAGATCCTCCTCCCTCTCTGTTTGCAGGATGCAGTGGCTGTCTCAGATTCTGGACACATGGACTGGAAGTATTTCGAGAGAGTACTTTGTTATGAACAGTAGGCTTGATTGGTGACACCAGAAACTGGAGTTTCACAGAACAGGACTACCACTGACGGCAGCGTAGGCTTTATCTGCATGGCAGTAAAGTTCAGGGCTGCCACCATCCACGATTCTCTCAGCAGTATCCTGTTTAGGGAATTGTATGTAGCAATGGTTGTCTGTAAACAGAAGCACCAGTTAATCATAAAATTAATGCTATGAAAAGTAATCTTGCTGACAGTAAACACTGACAGTGTAACATCCGTGTTGGACCTCATCACTGAAGCTCTTTTTGTACGAGTCCCATTCATCCTACCCTAAAGCAGGTCTCTGACAAGATCAGCTGGATTGTGATCTAGGTACGCCTGTTAGGAGTGTTGGGGATGGTGCGTGCGACGCTCAGGTGTAGGTCTCTGTGGTACATGTCTGAAGTCAGGTGAGATCCCTCCTGTACAAGCTTCTCACATTCAAACAAAGGTGCAAACTCCCATTTGGCTTAGAGCCTTCCCCAGGTTAATATAAATTACATGTAACTCATCTCAGTAGCTTTCAGGAGGTTTATTATTCTTTTTTTTTTTAATCTAGAAATTGTGACTGGCAGGATTTCTTGCATGTTGGTTTCTTTTAGGTTGACCTTTTGTTCCAAAGCATTTACAAAACTTAGTGTCACGTATTTAGAAGAGATTCTGCTTGACATGCATTTTGTGTGACTGGGTTATCCATTACCAGGTGAACAAATACCAGTTAAACGACATCTGTGATAGGAAGACAATAAAACTGCCTCCATTTCTTGCCATAAAAGAAAACTCTGATGTGGTTTTCTATTACCACTAGTGCTGTGAGGAGTCTTCTAGAAACAAGTTCAGATTTCTTAATTGAATGGTGAAATAAATGTCCAGAAGCCCTTTGAATCTGTCAAGCTTCCCACAGAACTTGAAACTTGGTGATGAACCTTCCCTGAAAATCATTCGGAAAGTAAAGGCTTAAATATTTTTTTCCTGCCCCATGTTTTGCCATTTTGAAGAAGATTTTTAAGAAGTTCACATACAACATCCAGGGAGTTTATAACCTCCATGATAAAGTTAAAAGGATAAGAGCCTTTGCTTAGGTTAAACACTAAGCACGTGAATAATACTTAAATTATTTGGCAAGCCACTTAAGTAAAATAAGAAAATTGTGTACAAACCCAGTATGTGAACTACGGGATGGATGGATGGATGGAACGGATGTGTGAAGTAGGTTAGTGACAAAACCATGTAATGAACTACTCAGATGTATATTCAGTTCTCAGAATTTCCCCTGCCCCTGTCTGGTGAGCCAGAGGAGCTTCCACTGTCCTTAAATTTCAGAAGCAAACTCTGATTCTCATGGTCTTGTCACAAGCAGATGCCTACAGGATATTTAGTAAACAGAGAAAAGCATCCGTGTCTCCAGAGGAGCTGGGTAGTCGGATCTGGGAAGAATGCTCTGTGCTTGAATTCCTTATGCACTGAAAGGTGGGCGGAATTGATCTGACCGTTCGTGTTGCTCATCTGGTGTCTAGCAGTGAATTCAGGTGGATGTAAGTGCCATGCTTTGTGCTGGACAATTCAGCGTTGTCCAGATGTCCGGCATTTCCTGACGTCGCTTACCCTGTCGTGCCTTGTGAGGTTGCCTGGTGTGCATCTGTCTGTTCACCAGTCTTGGGTGGAGTGGATAAGGGGTGTGTGTGAGGATGCTCACTTCTGCCTGCATCGTTGCTGGATGTGGGGAGCGTTGGCATTTTAGGGATTCAGGTAACTTTGTGTGCAGGAGGACAAGTACCAACAGCCTCTGAGTTGCCTAAGCAATTAGGTGGTGGTTTCGTGGCTCGCGCTACTCCATCTAAACTATATTCTGGTTGCTTAAGTGTATGTGTGGATCCAACTCATTACCATCACGTAGTCCGCTGCCTCAAACAGAGAACTATCCTGAAACCAGCACAGATATACCAAAATTTACGGAATGTTAACGTGATCATCTTATTTTTTTGAAACTGGATAGCCTAACGTCTCAGTATATTGGAAACCTGCTCTGTCTTCCAGTCCCTGTCTTTTGTTTCAAAGAGATTAATTAACCAATTATCACATGTTTAAAACCCCAAAACACACCACATCTTTGCAGTCATACATAATAAAATTCTGCCCAAGAAATGTCAGGAGACTGCAGCCAGTCTTGTGGTGTATTTTTACAGTTAGGAGCAAAATTGCAGTACTTGAATAATACTTTAGAATTAAGGTAGAGATGCACATATATATTTATATATGGATGTGTGCGTATTTATATATACATATATGAAAGGAAAAATGCTCAGTCTGGATATAAAAGAGGTTTAAGTCTGTATGCACAGAACTAGCTGTGGCTTGGACTGCATTTCAAGTGAAGGTTGGTAATTATTGTGTTCTGATGGGACTACTATGGACAAACAAGAGAAAGTAGGAATCAGTATTCTGCTTTGCTCTACTCAATCAAATGAAGTAAAACCAAAAAAAAGGACCCAGGGGTCTAACTTGGAGCAAAGGAAAAAAGATATAAAGCCTTCTGATAACTCCAGCAGGTGTTAGTGAGTCAAAATAGGACAAAGACAACTGGGGAGACTTTGGTCCTGGCAGGGCATCAGTATTTTGCCCTGTGAGCTGAAGAACAAAACCAACAGAACAAGATACTGAATAAATATGCGATATTTCAAATGGTTAAGCAGTCTTAAAAATATGTTTAATGACTTACTGATTCAGGGGGAGGCCACGTATTTTTCGGAATAAGAAACACATTGCCCCAGAACTTCTTTTCTAATTTAAGATTTGGTTGCATCATATTTCTGCAGTACAGGATGTAGGTGGCTTTAACTGAAAGAATGCATCTGTAGAAAGCAGTCTGGCTGTGAGAGGAGAAAGGAGCTCTCGCAGAACTCTGCTGTAGCTAAAGTCATGTTTACAAAGCCTTTCCTTGCAGGGAGGTAGATTCTCTGTTCTCCTTCCCATAGTATCCACAGCAGGA